TCCTCCTCCCCCTCCTCTTCTCTGAGGTCTCATCCGTCTCCTCCGTCTCTGAGGTCTCCTCCGTTTCTGAGATCTCTTCCGTCTCTGAGGTCTCTCCATCTCTTCCGTTTCCGTCTCCTCCTCCTCCTCCTCCTTTTCCCCCTCTTCTTCCTCCTCCTCCTCTTGCTCCTCCTCCTCCCCCTCCTCTTCTCTGAGGTCTCATCCGTCTCCTCCGTCTCTGAGGTCTCTTCCGTGTCTGAGGTCTCTTCCGTCTTTGAGGTCTCTTCCCTCTCTGAGGCCTCCTCCGTCTCTGAGGTCTCCGCCGTCTCTGAGGTCTCCTCCAACTTTGGTGTTTCTGAGGTCTCCTCCGTCTCTGGGGTCTCCTCAGTCTTTGCGGTCTCGTCCGTCTCTGAGGTCTCCTCCGTATCCGCTTCCTTTTCCCCCCCTCCTCCTCCCCCTCCTCTTCTCCTCCTCCTCCTCCTCCTCCTCCTCTTCCTCCTCCCCCTCCTCCTCCTCCCCGTCCTCCTCCTCCTCCTCCCCCTCCTCTTTCTCCTCCCCCTCCTCCTCCTCCTCCTTCGCCTCCTCCCTCTGGGTGCAAGTCCGTGCGCAGGTACGTGCGCGGGCTCAGAGAAGCGGCGCTTCCCGTTCTTGTGCGGAAGTGTTCCCTCAAATTGTCCGTTTCGCTCGAGACATCCTCGAAACAATGGGATTCTGAAATCGTATGTTTGAGACGCCTTTCGTCAACACTGAGGCTCTCGCTCGAGGCATCGTCGAAACACGAGTCTCGGAGCTCGCTCACGAAATCCAGCGAATCCTTGAAAATTGCCGTTTCGCCTGAGACATCCTCGACACATTAAGATGATGAAGCCGTGTGGTTTAGGCGTCTTTTGTTAAGCATGAGGCTCTCGCTCGAGACATCCTCGGAAAGTGGCATTCGCAGCATCTTAGCTGCTTGAGGTCCTGTATCCTCCGTCACTGAGGTCTCCTCCGTCTCTGAGGTCTCCTTCGTCTCTGAGGTCTCCTCCGTCTCTCCTCCGGTTCCTCCGTCTCCTTTGTCATCCTTTTCCTCCTTTTCCATTTCCTCCTCCTCTTCGTCCTCCTCCTCCTCCTCATTCTCTTCCTCCTTCATCACGCACGCACGCCGTACATCCCCCCCGCCCGTCGCCCCCATAACACATCCCGCACGCACGCCGTACATCCCGCCCGCCCGTCGCCCCGATAACACATCCCGCACGTACGCCGTACATCCGCCCCGCCCGTCGCCCCCATGACACATCCCGCACGCACGCCGTACATCCCGCCCGTCCGTCGCCCCCTATGACACATCCCGCACGCACGCCGTACATCCCCCCCCGTCGTTCCCATAACACAGCCGTGCACACGCGCGCACACACGCACACAGCCGCTCACACAGGCACATACACTGGCACGCGTACATACACGCACGCTCGCACCAGAGTAACCACACGCAATCATTAAGATCGGACAAACAACCACTAATCCCGCTGTCCGCGCGCAGCGCGAGTTCTGGCGAACTCTCTGTGGGGACGGCGCTTGGGACCCCCTCCCCCCCGTGCGATCCCTGGCAAATCGTCTGTGGAGGGGGGGTGGAGCTCGTGCGGCAGCAGCAGCAGGAGGAGTGGGAGGAGGAACAGAGGCAGATGACGTCGAAGAGGGGAAGGAGAGGGAGGAGGAGGAAGGAGAGAAGGAGGAAAAGGATTGGGAGGAGGCAAGGCCAGCGCGGCAGACCAGCACGGCAGACCAGCGCGGCACGCCATCGCGGAGTTCTTTGGCGTACTCAACCTGACGCTATCTGACAAGCCTTGTGCCTTGTGGACAAAGCGGCGTTTCCCGTTCTTGTCCGGTCAGGTTTCCCCGTAAAACGGCCGTTTCGCTCGAGACAATGCCGTGTGGTTAAGACGTCTTTTGTTAAACATGGGTCTGTCGGACGATGAGCTACTGAGCTCGCGCACGAAATTGAGCGAATTGTTGGACATTGCAGTTTCGCTCGGGACATCTTCGTAACAATGAGATGTGGGAGCCGCGCTCGAGACATCCTCGAAACATTGAGATGTTGAAGCCGCGTGGTTAAGACGTCTTTTGTTAAAGAGAAGGATCTCGCTCGAGACAGCCTCGGATAATGAGCTACTGATCTCGTTCACGAAATTCAGCGAAATCTTGGGCATGTTGGGCGCCTTCTCCGTCTCTGAGGTCTTCTCCGTCTCTGAGGTCTCCTCCGTCTTTGAGGTCTCCTCCGTCTCTGAGGTCTCGTTCGTCTCTGAAGTCTCCTCCGTCTCTGAGGTCTCCTCCGTCTCTGAGGTTTCTGCGGTCTCAGAGGTCTCCTCCGGCTCTGCGGTCCCGCCCGTCTCAAGACCTCCATCTCGTCCGTCTCCGTCTCCTCCCCCCTCCTCCTTCTCCTTCTCCTCCTCCTCCTGCTCTTCCTGCTCCTCCTCCCGTTCCTCTTCTTCCTCCCCCTCCTCCGCCTCCTCGCCAGCCAACGCTATACATGGCAATCGTCGGGACATTTAGAGAATCGCCTGATGGCACCCCATGTGCGCACACAGGTGTTGGGTGCAAATCCGCGCGCAAGTGCGCGCGCGAGCTCAGCGAGCGGCGCTTCCCACTGTTGTCCCGAAGCGTTCCCCTCACATTTGCCGTTTCGCCTGAGACATCTTCGAACAATTGAGATGTTGAGACCTTGTGGTTAAACTGTTGCTTCTTAAAGATGAGGCTTTCGCTCGAGGCATCCGTGAAGCATGAGCTACTGAGCTCGGTCACGCAGCAATTCAGCGACTCGTTGGGCCTTGCCGTTTCGCCAGAGACATCCTCGAACAATCGACATGCTGAGGCCGTGTGGTTAAGACGCCTTTCGTTAAACATGCGGCTCTCGCTAGAGACATCCTCGGAAAACGGCACTCGCAGCATCTTAGCTCGAGGTCTTGTCTCTTCCGTCTCCTCCGTCTCTGAGGTTTCCTCCGTCTCTGAGGTGTCCGTCTCCTCCGTCTCAGAGGTACCCTCCGTCATCCTCTTCTTTATCCTCTTTCTCTCTCTCTCTCTCTCTCCTCCTCATCATTTTCCTCATTCGTCCCGCACGCACGCCGTGCATCCCCCCCGTCCGTCGCCCCCATGACACATCCCGCACGCACGCCGTACATCCCCCCGTCCCGTCGCTCCCATAACACATACCTGCACACACTCACGCAGTCGCTCACACAGGCACATACAGTGGCACGCGTACATACACGCACGTTCGCACCACAGTAACCACAGCAACCACAGGCAACCATTAAACTCGGAGAAGCAACCTCTAATCCCGCTGTCCGCGCGCAGCGCGAGTTCTGGCGAACTCTCTGTGGGGAAGGCGCTTGGGGCCCCTTCCCCCCGCGCGATCCCTGGCTAATCATCTGTGTGTGGGGGGCTCATTCGGCAGTAGCAGCATCGGCAGCAGAAGCAGGAGGAGTGGGAGGAGGAACAGAGGCAGATGACGTCGAAGAGGGGAAGGAGGAGGCGGAGGAGGAGGAAGGAGAGGAGGAGGAGGAGGAGAAGGATGGGGAGGAGGCAAGGCCATCGCGGCAGACCAGCACGGCAGACCAGCGCGGTACGCCAGCGCGGACGCGGAGTTTTTCGGCGTGCTCAACCAGACATTATCCTACAAGCCTTGCGGACAAAGCGGCGCTTCCCGTTCTTGTCCGGTCGGGTTCCCCCCAAAGCGGCCGTTTCTCTCGAGACATCTTCGGACAGGTCCGATGTCGAAATCGTTTGTTTGAGACGTTTTTCGTTAAACGTGCGATGTTCGCTCGAGACATCTTCGAACAAAAAGCGAGGTGGAGGAGGAAGAGGAGGATGAAGAGGAGGAGGAGGAGGAAAAGGAGGAGGAGGAGGAGGAGGAACAGGGGAGGAGGACAAGGAGGAGGAGGAGGAAGGGGAGGTGGAGGAGCAGGAGGACGAGGAGGAGGAGGAGGAGGAGGAGGAGAAGAGGAGGAGGAGGAGGAGGAGGAGGAGGAGGAGGAGGAGTTGGAGGAGGAGTTGGAGGAGGAATGGGAGTAGGAATTGGAGGAGGAGTACAACACGCTCCCAGCGCATGAATGCCCATATGGAGCATACACCACGCAAGCAACACACCACTTACACTAAACAAAGCGCACGCGCACCCTGCGCTTTTTCCCGCCCGCCCACTAGGCACACCCCGTTCGCACACCGTACACCCCCCCCCGCCCGCTCCCCAGGCACACACCCCGCACGCGCACCTTGCACCCCCTCCCCCGCCCCCCTGGCACACACTCTGCACACGCCCTCGCACACAGACGCATACACAGGCAGACACACGCACACACGCACACGCACTTACATGCACATGCACATGCACATATGCACACACAAGCTTAGGCCATGCGTAATACCTGGCCAAAACAACCAAACGCACCCACTGAACACGAGCTACCAATGGCGACCATCTGGGCACGTTGGGGCGCCCAGCGACTGCACCCATGTGCACGCATGCGCGTCGGTTGCAAATCCTTTTGCGCGTGCGCACGCAAGCTCAGAGGGATGCGGCGTTTCCCGTTCATGTCCGGAAAGGTGTTCCAGCCTAGCACGCGCGGGCTGCTGTCGCCGCCCGTACTGATGCCTCACGCCCGTGCGCGCCTGCGGCTTGCCCAAGGAGGGGGACGTAGGAGAAGCCTCGGGTTGTGCTGCGTCGTTCGTCGGAAGGTGATGGGCCAGTCCCAGCGCGCGCTGCCTCGCCACCCCCCCTCCTACTCTTCCCCGCCTCGCCCTTGCCGCCCTCCTCGGTCTCGGAGTCGTGCTGTCGCTCGCTGGAGGGTGATGAGCCATAGGCATCCCTCATCTCATTTCGCATCTCTCATATCGTCCCTCATCTCGCATCTCTCTCTCTCTCTCTGTCTGTGTGTGGGGGTCGGGAGGACCCGGCCAAGACTGGCAAAGGCCTGTGCCCAGGCCGCCGTAGTCCACCTGAGGCCAGCGACGCGCGACAAGAGGCCTTCCGTCGAACCCCCGCGCAGATGTTGAAAGGCCCGGATGGTCGGCTCACGCTACTGGTGCACGGGAGGCCGCCTGAGCGCGGGATGAGATCTTTGTCCGACGGGGGGGGCCTGCCTGCTTGCGTGTCTGTCCGTCTGTCTGTCTGTGGGCTCATCGCGACGGGAGCTGATGGGCGGCCACGCTGTGGCTGCCAGGGATCTCCAAGGGGTTCTCGCAGCAGCTTGCCTGCATCGCTCCCGCGGCGGAGGCGGAGTTCATCCACGAGGACACGCTGGTGTGCCCGAGCGACCGGCCGATCGACCTCGGCGGCGGCGCCGCCCTCGGTACCGTCGTGCGCAGACGCTCGCCGCTTCGTGGCCGTGCGGCGTCGGTCGTTGCCGTACGCCTGAGAAGCTCATTCTCCTCTCACTCGGGAGCATCTTGGGCTGTGCTCGAATTTGGCCCTGCTGCACACAGCATCGGCTCACAAACACTGTCGCACCATTCGGCGGCGAGCCCAGGGGGGAGCGAGAAGAGGCGGGCTTCCTCAGAAGGATCGGCATTCCCCAGGCCTGTGAGAAGTGTCCTAAGCCTTCCCCGGCTAAACAGCAAACTTCTCAGAAAGCCGGCGAGCTTCTGAGAAGCCCCGCCGCTTTTTGAGAAGGCCTTCTCCTTCTCACTTCCCCCCCTCGCTCGCCACCGACTCTTGAGGAGAGCGGCACGGAGTGCGACGAGGAAGCCGGCGAGAGGGGCACGCGAGCGCCCGCGCGACCAGCGCCAGCGCGACCAGGCGGCGCGGGCGCGGCCGGCCCTGGGCCAGAAGGGAGCCTCGGCTGGAGGCCCCGGCGGCAACGGGGCGCGTGGTTTCGCCCCCGCCGAGGCTGCCCCGCCGCTTTTTGAGAAGGCCTTCTCCTCACGTCCGCCCCCCCTCGCCCGCCGCCGATCCCTTGCCACTCGTCGTCGTCGTCGTCGTCGTCGTCGTCGTCGTTGCCGAGCGGTGACCTCGGAACCCCCAGAGACCCCACCGCGCGGCCCGCCACCGCACGGGCTTGGTTGGGTCGTCGGAAGCCCCAAGCCAGGCCCCAAGGCGATCCCCCTCGCCCGCCGCCGAGCCACGGCAGGCTACATCTCAGCAGGGGAAGGTCGGCCGCGCGCCGTGCACCACAGCGCCGTCGTGCGCCGTCTGCGCCGCGCCCGCTCCTGAGCTCCTCCTCCTCTTCCGCCTCCTCCTTTTCCTCCTCCTCCTCCTCCTCCCCCTCCTCCTCCCCCTCCTCCTCCTCCTCCTCCTCCTCCTCCTCCTCCTCCTCCTCCTCCTCTTACCAGCCTGGAACATATCCCTATCCCTATGCTGGGCACCTCCTCATCACGATGTCAATATTAGGGATTCCCTTATTTTTTGAGGGTGGATCCCTAAGATTGTCATCGCCTTTTGGTGTGTCAATCTTAGGGATAGGGATACGTTCGAGGCTGGTAATCCTCCTCCTCCTCCTCTCCTCCCCCTCCCCCTCCTCCTCCTCCTCCTCCTCCTCCTCCTCCCTCCTCCTCCTCCTCCCTCCTCCTCCTCCTCCTCCTCCTCCTCCTCCTTCCTCCTCCTCCTCCTCCTCCTCCTCCTCCTCCTCCTCCTCCTCCTCCTCCTCCTCCTCCTCCTCCTCCCCGCCGCCGACGGACAAAGCGTGGCGAGGTGTTGCCCTGTGCCAGCCCGTGGGCGCCTCGCTCCGGAGAATCATGCCTCGTGTTCTTTCCTGGGGGGCACTGCACTCACGAGAAGGACGCGACCTGACAGGCAGCCAGAGACGGTGGCACCTCGCAACGGCGGCGCAGATGTGACGCCTGGGGCGGGTCTGTTCCGCCGTTCATGTTGCGAGGTCCGACTGCATATGAATTCATGCAGGAATCTTGGGCACCTCCCTTCGGGTTGTGTCGCCCAGGTGTTCTGTCCGAGCACAGCGCCAGAGACGGTGGCACCACTCCACCGTTTGACCCGGGAGCGTCTTGGCCCATAAACTCTGCCAAGTCATGACAGGCCATCTCAGCAGGCTGAGGTCGGCCGCGCATCGTGCATCACGGTGCTGTCATGCGCCATCTGCGCCGCGCCCGCTCCTGAGCTTGGCTGATCTGTTGCGGATCGCCTCGGCCGATCCGTGATCACCACATGGCTGGATTCTCCTCGGCTGAGTTCTCCTCGGTTGGATTCTTCTTGACCGGATTTTCCTCAGGTGGATTCTTTTCGGCCGGATTCTTCCGGTCCCCACCATCCCACCACCCCAGTTGAGCGACGCGAGAAAACGGTGTCGTCTGCGCCGACATTGGCGCGCAATTTTCCTGCGTAAGGTCGCTCGTGATCGCAAGCTGCCGCCAGCAAGCTGCCTGCCCTGCGTAAAGGTCGCGCGTAAATTGCCCGCGAAAGCTGCCCTGGAGAGTCTTCATCACCACGCTCAAGCAGTGGCGAAGCGTCCTGGCTCGCCTATAGGCCCACCGAAGAATGTTTGAATAACCTTGTGTACGTGGTATGCACGAAATGATATGATAACATTTTTGGCTGAAGCTGCCTTGTTGTTTAACACGTCGGGTTGATCTTATAAGAACATCGCTTCTGTTCTCAAATATTTGTTGGGCTGGATGTTCTTCGAACTTTCTGGCCAGAGAGCCCTCTGGGAAAGGTCCGGGGACTAGCGGTATTGGTACCCGTTCGTTCCCCACGCACGGCGTCGTTGGTCGCCGTCGGCAGGCGTGAGGTCGGTCGTCAGTCGTTCGTTGTCGGCCGTCGGCGGTCGCCGTGCGTCGTCAGTCGATGTGTTTTCTCGACGGTCGTCGGTCGTCGATCGCCATCGTCGCCGTGCGTCGTCGGCCATCGCCGTACATCATCGTCATGAGTCGTCGGTCGTCGGTCGTCGGCGGTCACTGGTGGTCGTCGTTGACGGCGCCGCGCGTCGTCGTCATCGGTTGTCGTCGTCACAGACGGAATCGTCGGTGGGGCTACGGAGTCACGCGTGGTGACCTGCTGCTGGGCTGGGTGCGCTAGACATAAAATACATCAGACCACTGGAACGAGCATCCTGACTTTTGCGGGAGGCCCCTCTTGAGGCGACTCAAAGCGTCGTGTCCAGCAAGGCTGGGATTCTTGCGGGGCCCTTTGAAATGTCGGGGCAACTCAGTACAACGGCGCCCACATACCTCACAACACAACGCACTCCGATATGTTTCCAACGTGTGAGCCGGGTGAAACTCCGCAAAAGGATGAGCCATCGCCCCCCCCACCTCCCAAAGCCGACAGTCCCATATCATCGCGAGGTGGGGCAGGCTCCCAAGCCATTTGGTCAGGTGCCCGAAACGGGAGGGCTTGAAGTCTCCACTGCAACGCACCACGCGGCTTGCAGGGAGACGACCAGAATTCAGACTGAGCACCTCTCCTGATGGCAATTCGGGCACAACAGTTTTTTCTGTATTACACATGTTTCATTCAGAGGTTGAAGTACGCATTGAAACATAATGGTGAGCATCACGCGAACCACACAGACGAACATCTTGACTGAGACGTTCACCCTTCACGCGAGAGTGCAGCATACGGTCAGACCGTTCATGCTGGGAGGTAAACGAGCACCTCATTTTGAACAGCAAGGAAGCGTTCCAACCTTGAACGCCCTCTTATCGGCCTCAAAGTGGCCTGGGCCATGCCATCTGACACTTGATCTTCCCCCTCGAAGAACCAACAGCATTATCCAACCACACTTCCGATGTCGCGCACACACACATGTTCAAACTCTGGTTTTGGGTGGAGCCACCTTGGTCTCATCGAACATCGATTGAGCCGCCTGAGGACCTCCTGATATACATACATACCAATACACCTATATATGTATGTATATATATACACACCACCCAGAGGGCCAGCATAGCGGGCGTCCTCTTGCTTCGAAGCGTTTTCTTAAATCCTTTCACGGCAAACTTATTCTCACAGTACGCTCGTACATGTCCAGTCGAACGAGCAGCCAATTTGACTAAAGCAAACAGTTCAGCACGCCCAGCACTGGACCTTAGTTGGCAAAGTACCGCTAGCCTCGCCATCAACTTGTCCGTCTGAGCCTTGGTGGATTATGGCGCACCCACACCTCCTACGCTTCGAATCTTCGTGATATGTATCACCAGAACCTTTGATCCCCGAACCCCCCCTCTGATCTTGGCTCCGTCGCCTAGCCTTCGCAGGCAGATTCGCACACGAGGCCTTAAGAGAGGGCAAGTCACGCATCCAAAGACTAAAGTGCTTGGGTTCATGTAAAACCTGGGGGATGAGATCATCCGAGCGCGCGGTGACGGAATCTGGCAACTCAGAGTTGCATCTACAAGACCAGAGTTTGTGCGCTGCAGTCTCTGCCGCACATCCACATATAGGGGACAAGCTTTTGGTGACCGACTCGTAGCTGGTCTCGGTCCATAGCCCCACCGTCAAAACGTTTAGCAATTCCCTCGGGCTCGAACGTTCGTTCTGTTCCAAGTTTTATCAACATCTTGCGAGGTTCATTGAAATCGACTCATTCGATGGGGCGAAGAGAGGAGGGAGGAGGATGGAGCAGAGAAGCGGAGGAGGCTGAGGGGGAGCTGAGATGAGCAGGAGGATGAGGAGGAGGAGGAGCAACGGGCTGGAAGGGGGGAGGGCTTCCAGGTTTTGTCGTTGTCCCGCGCAGGAGGAGACACAAGGCCGAGCGCCAATGGCCGACGGCCGCTGGAAGCGTCTGCAATCCCAGAGCCAATGGCATCTTGGGAGCGTCCAAGAGGGGGGTGTCGAGTGGGGTTCCACGCGAGGAGCAGATTTGGGAACTCGCGCCACTGGACCACCCTGCAATTGAAACGCGCGGGGGGGGGGTCGGACCCCCCCCCCCTCAAAGGGGGGGGCGAAATTCCCCCCCCCCCTTACCGCTGGAAAGGGGGGGGTGTCGGACCCCCCCCCCGCTTCCCCCGTGTGAGCCTGACCGAGAGCCGGGGAGGGGGCCTCTCCCGCCATTTCTTTCTGCGCCGGAGATGGTGGGTAGGGAGTATTGAGTAGGGTATAGTGAGTAGTGAGTAGTGTGTAGAGAGTAGCGAGTAGTGAGTAGCGAGTAGCGAGTAGTGGAGTAGTACGCAGTGAGTAGTGAGTACTCAGTAGTGAATAGTGAGTAGTGAGTAGTGGGTAGTGGGTAGTGAGAACTGAGTAGCGCGTAGGGGGAGCGAGTAAGGAATAGTGGGAAGCGAGTAGTGGGTACTGAGTCGTGAGTAGGGAGTAGACAGTCGTGAGTAGTAAGCAGGAGTTGCAAGCAGAGAGTAGCGGTCAGTGCGTTCGGAGTAGTCGGTAGTGACTAGGGAGTAGTGAGTACTAGTAGTAGTGAATAGTGAGATGTGAGAAGTTGGTAGCGAGTAGTGGGTAGTGAGTAGTGAGTGGTGACTAGTGACTAGTGACTAGTGAGTGGGGAGCTTTGAGTTGTGGGTATTGATTATTGAGTGGTCAGTAGTGAGTAATGGGTGGCGATTACGGAGTAGTGATTAGTGAGTAGTGAGTAGTGAGTAGACATTCGTGATTAGTGAGTGGTGAGTGGTGAGTACGGGGTAGGGAGTAGGACAAGTGAGCAACGGGTAGTGCGTAGTGAGTAGTGAGTAGTGAGTAGGGCGTAGTGAGCAGTCAGTAGTGATCAGTGAGTAGTGAGTTGTGTGTAGTGAGTAGGGACTAGTGGTAAGTGAGTAGTGAGTCGTGCATTGGGTGGTGACTAGTGAGTATTGAGTAGCGAGCACCGAGTAGGGAGTAGCGAGTAGTGAGTGCTGTGTAGTGAGTACTGTGTAGGGAGTAGCGAGTAGAGAGTAGTGAGTACTGAATAATGAGTATCGAGTAGGGACTAGGGAGTAGTAAGTTCTGAGTCGTTGATAGTGGTCAGTGAGTAGTGATTAATTCGTAGCAGTGAGTAGTGCGTAGTGACTAGTGAGCAGTAAGTATAGGGTAGAGAGTAGGGAGTAGGGAGTAGTGACCAGGGAATTCTGAGTAGTGAGTAGTGGATAGTGTGTAGTGAATAGTGAGTATCGAGTACTGTTTGGGGCTAGGGTTAGGGGTTGGGTTTCGGATCCGGCGTTCGGGTGAGGATTACGGTTAGGGGTTGTAGGGGGGGGGCGGGTTCTGGAGTCAGGGGGCGGCGTGGCGAAAAGGGGGGAGGGGGGGGTCGAATTTCGAGCCCTAGGGGGGGGGGGGGATCGGAACCCCCCCTCGTTCGTTTTGAAAAGGGGAGGGGGTCCCGACGACGGACCGGGAAAATGAGGGGGGGAGGGGGTGTCCCCGACGACGGACCACGAAGGGGGGGGGGAGGGGGTTTCCCCGACAACGGACCGGAGAAAGGGTGTAGGGGCCCCCCCCCCACTTGGGGAGATCCAGCGGCTCGCCGTCCAGATTCTGACCTTGTGGAGAAATTATCATCGCTTCGACCATCAGCATCATCCTCCTCATCGCCACCATCATATTGATACTCATTGGTCGTCAACAACATCATCACCATCATCATCACCACCATCATCATGAACATCATAATCATCAACGCCTTTTTTCCGATGTCGCATGTGCGATGCCCCTGTGGCAACGTTCAAAGCAGTGAGGGCACTGCTTTGAAGCTGCTTCAGGGCGTTCAAAGCTGTGCCAGGGCACTGCTTTCTGAAATTGCCTCTTCGCTTTTGTATGTGCCTTCAGATTCGTGTTATTCTTTGGCTCTGCGTGAATTTCGTGGTACAGACGAGGGGGTTAGGGGTAGGGGTGGGCAGGCTTCTTCGACTCACTCCCGTCTTTTTTTGGGGGGGCGCGGGCCCTGCGACCCCTCCGCGTATGTCTACTGCGCGCCGCCAACTGCAGGAATGCCGGCAATCGACCATGGCTGCGCGCCCCACGGCGCGACTCCGCGCACCACGCGAGTCTGCACGGGATGCCTGCTCCGCCCGCGCGGCGGCCAGGGCGCGCCCGCGCGCGCGCCCCTGCGCGGGCGGGGCCGTGCCGAGGCCGGACCCCGCCGGAGGTCGTAGTGACGGCGGTGCCCAAGGGCTCCCCGGAGGCGCTCAAGGCCCCGCACGGCGGAAGGGCGCCAGGGCGAGCGCGAGGGCTGGACTTGGCTGGAGGTCTGAGGTGGCCCAGCACGAAGGTTGTAAGGGCGGCAGGCAGGAGGGCGGCAGGTTCGAGGTTTTGAGATGTTCTAGGTGATTGCTGTTTTGTCTTGTTTGTTTTTGTCTCGGCCTCCGAAACTGTTTTCGGGACCCGGGGCCGTCAAAAACGGATCCGCGGTCAGGAGTCCTGACAAGATGGGCCCTGGCAGCGGTTTGGGGACCGATGTGGATTTGGCTTCATCCCCCCCCACCCCCCCCGTGACCGATTTTCTAGGGTCCCAACCAGTTCAGACTCCCAGGCCGCTTCCAAAGGGAGGGGCTCGAGACTCAAGCGACGGGGATCAACGCACACGGGGGTGAGCCAGAGCGCCGGATCCTGCAGGATCCTGCAAAGCCGGAGTGCCACAGACTCGGGCCTGGGTGCCAGATCCTGCAAGGTCTTGCAGGATTCTGCAGGGTCCTGCAGACTCCGACTGGCATGGGTTTGGACTGACCCGGCTCAAGTCATACCCGAGGGGCGGCTAGGGAACGAGAGCAAGGGCGCCCTCGAGGGCGCGAAGTTATTCGCGCTTCGCGCTTCGCGGTTCGGCTCCGATTCCTCATCCTCCTCTTCTCCCCTGGGAGGCGGCGCGAGAGCGCGAAGTTGTTCGCACTTCGCGCTTCGCGCAGCGCGAAGCGCGAAGTTGGGAGCCCTTGGAGAGAGGGGGGGGATCTGCTGGCTACACGCGAGAGTGGCCTCTCACCGGAGTGGCCTTCGGTGCGCGGCCTTCGGGGGCGAGGGGGGAGCGAGGGTGAAGGAGCGAAGGAGGGGGGGGGAGGAGGAGGAGGACGAAGAGGACGGGGAGGAGGAGGACGAGGAGGAGGAGGAAAGGGAGGAGGCGGAGGAATGGGAGGAGGAAAGGGAGGAGAAGGAGGAGGAGGAGGAGGCGGAGGAAAGGGAGGAGGAGGAGAAAGAGGAAAGAAAGGGAGGAGGAGGAGGAGGCGGAGGAAGAGGGAAGAGGGGTTCGGGGGATCAAGCTCGAGGGAGCGAGGCCGCTTAGTCCCGCTTAATGCCGCCTAATCCGCTGCCTAATCCGACGTACCAGCCCCTCAACGGGGCTTGCTTACCCTTCATCCTTCTGGCGAAGACCTCCCAGAAGCTGCCTCCGAACTTCTTCCTCGATCCCCGAACTCCCCCCCCGAGACTCGATACCCTTGAGCCTCGGGCTCCACCGCGGCCTCTGCGCTCGCCGCGGCCGCCGCGCGCCCTCGCCGGGCGGAGCTGCGACGCAACGACGGTGGCGGCGGCGGCGGTGCGGCGGCGGCGGCAGCAGCAGCGGTGCCCGCGACAGCTCGAGTGGGGTGCCGATCGACTGCAGAACTGATTCACCCCAAGGTCAGTCTCCCGTCGAAGCGACAGATGAACACGTATAAGGTTCGTGGATCCGCCAACCTTCTACGCATCTTCCATGGGTTCGACGAGAAACATCACCTTTGGGGTAAAAACCAATTCTGTAGTCGATCCCCTACTTGAACAACGAAAACACGACGGCGGTGGCCGCCGTCGTCGTCTCCGCCGCCGCCCCCCCGTCGCCGACGTCGTCGTCGTCGGCGTTCGGGGATCAAGAACGTCGTTCCACTTGGCATCCCTCGGACGTGAGCATTCTATCCTCGGCGAGGAGGCCTTTGAGGAGCCTCTTGAACCCTTAAAACATCGAAACAGGCATGCACGGCAACTGGACGTCCGAGCGATGGCAAGTCAGACACATCGTCAAACACGTCGTCGCCCCCCCTCCACCATGGACGTCGTCAACGACGTCGTCGCCCCCACCCTGGATATCGTCAAGGACGTCGTCGTCGTCACAGACATCGTCAAAGACGTCGTCGCCCCCACCCTGGGGACACCGTCAAGGACGTCGTCGTCGTCGTCGTCGAAAACATCGTCAATGACGTCGTCGACCCCCCCCCCACCCCACCCTGGCAGCAGGCTCGCCCGCGCGCGCGGGCGGCGAGCAGCCGGGCGGCCGCGGGCGCGGACCCCGCCGCCCCGCCGGCGCGCAGGGCGCGCCGCGCCGCCGCGCGCCCGCCGCCCCGACGACGACGACGACGACGACGACGACGACGACGACGACGACGACGACGACGGCGGCGGCGGCGGCGACGACGACGACGACGACGACGACGACGACGACGACCCCAGATCCCCTCGCGTCAGTAACAACGAAAATGGAAAGCGATCGGCCTCTGGGGGCCCTCGCCAGGCCCCAGGGCCGTCAAGAAATTGCCCAGGGTCAAGACTCGTCCGCGGCGAGGTGTCCATACCTCTTTTGGTCCACGTCATGAAGAAAAGAGGAAGTCGAGGGTCTGGGTCTTTACCGTCGCGCCGACGACGTCAGCGGAGACGACAGCGGCGGCGGCGAGTGCGGCCGCCGCCGTCGTGTTGTCGTCGTCGTCGTCGTCGTCGTCGTCGTTGTCGTCGTCGTTGTCGTCGTCGTCGTCGTCGTCGTCGTTGTCGTCGTCGTCGTCGTCGTCTTGTCGCCGCCGCCGCCGAGGCGCAGCCAGCGCCGGCCTCGCCGCCGCCGAAGCGGCCAGCCTCTGGCTACATGCTCTTCGCCAACGAGCGGCGGCCCGGGCTGCTGGCGGCCCGACCGGAGCTGAAGGGCGGTGGCCGGGACGTCCTCGGCGAGGTCGCGAAGGCTCAAGCAGTGGCGAAGCGTCCTAGCTTGCCTATAGGGCTACCAAAGAAGGTTCTAAGAACCGATTGTGGTCTGCACGAGATGTTCGTAGAACATTTCTGGCTGGCGCTGTCTTGTTTTCACACATCGGGTGTATGTTCTAAGAATGTTGTGCTTGTTCTTAGAAGATGTTTGGTTTCTAAGAACATTTCGTTCGTGGTAGGCCTATACGACTGCCAGGAAAGCCAGTCCCTGCTCAATTAAGGCGCTCGGCACGGAGTGGAAGGAGCTCGGCGAGGAGGCGCGCGCTCCCTACGAGCGGCGGGCGCAGGAGCTGCGCGCGGAGTACACCGAGAAGAAGCTCGAGTACCTGGCCCGCCACCCGGAGGTGAGGCGCGCGGCCCCAAGACGGGTCGCCGCGGGGGCTCCCGCGAGCCGGAGCAGGCGGACCCTCACCAGCAGGGCGGACACCGACGACGAGGACTCGGGCCCCGACGACGCGTCCGCCGACGCCGGGGGCGCGGTGCGGCGGAGCTCCCGGCTGCGCGAGACGCCGCTGGAGGCCCTGGCCGCGCAGACTTCCGCGTCGGTCATGATCCAGCACCCACCGCCCGAGCTGGGCAAGCGGCGGCGCACGGGAGACCTCTCCCAGTCGTCGCCCGGGTCGCGCGGCGAGCAGCACATGTCGTACAGGGAGTACCTGAGCCACGACCGCGAGCAGGACAGGGTCGTGGACGACGCGAAACGCCTGCTCATCCAGACGCAGTCGTTCAACGGCGGCCCAGACGAGGACCTGCAGCTCGCGATCGCCATGTCCATCTCCGAGGCCCAGAGCCAGCAGCCGTAGGTTTGACGCCATGTGTTAGGTTAGGCGGTCGTTCTCGACAGTTTTCGACGGCTTGTTTCGTGTATCCGACTGCGCTGCCGCGCACTTCCGCCACCGCCTCGCTGTGTGTGTGTGTGTGTGCACAGGTGTGTGCGCGTGTGTGATTGTGTGTTTGTTCCTGTGCGTGCAACCACCTGGGCGACGTAAGAAGACCAGGTCGATTGCGCCGACATGCGCGCGTAAGTTGCCCGCGTAAGGTCGCGCGTAAGCGCCCTCGTTTCCAGTGGAGCGTGCCGCCCTGGCGGCCCGCGCAAGCCGCGGCGTCGGGTCGCTATGTCATCCTGCGCAAAGCCCGTCTCCCTCGTGGCTCACATGTGGGTTGCCCATAGAGTCATGCCTGAGTCCCGTGCTCCTGACCGCCTCCCCCGCCGTCCTGCTTCCGCGTCGCGGACCGCCGCGTTCGAACGGCGGCCCGCGAGCGGCAGCGGCGGAAGCGAAGCGGCACTGCAGGCCTTCCCGCGGGCGTCGCGCCGCTGAGCCGCCCAGCGGCTCGGCCGCGATGCTCGGCGCTGCCGCCCGGCCACGCGGCGCGCGCCGCATCGTCGCGGGCGCGCGCCGCGCCGCGGCGCAGACCCCAACCGCCCGGTGGCCGGAGGGCCGCGGCAGCAGTGAAGGCCGCTGTGGACCCAGGTTCCCCCGGATGGTGCTGGAGTGCGGTGGAGGCGCTGAAGGCAGTAAGGACCACGCTCGGCTCCTGGAGGGGCTCCGATTTTCGGGCCGTTCCCTCGGTTCGGGTCGGGGGGCTCACTCGAAGACGAGGCGCGCCGTGGCCAGGCGAGCCCCATTCGCTCCTTATTCGGCATTTTTTCTGGTAGAGTGACGATTGTAGATGGGATCTTCTCCGCCCGAAACAATAGGTGATCTTAGATGGGTTTGCAGTATTGCGCCGCATCGCCAATGCATCGGCGATGCGGCTCGATGTGGAGCCCGATGTTCTCCACGCCGACGTCTCCGATGCATCGGTAATGCATCGTCGATGCGGTACGACCCTGCGGCCCCATCTACTCCGACCCCATGTGGGAGGCCTCTAGTGGGGGAAAGATCCTGGGCCTCCAAGCTGGAGTAGTGGGTCTGGCGCAGATGGGTCTGCGGCGAGAGGTGCAGCAGTTCATGAAGTGTACATTATTGCACGCAATAGCACGCAACTATTGCGGGTTGGGGGTGAACTATTGCACAGGCGGCATTTGTTGCGTGTGGAAGAAGCTACACACTTGCATCCGCGCGCAAGCACCTGGATGTTTTGGGTTTCGATGGCTTCCCTATGGAAGGCGTGACGTTCCCACACCAGTAATCAAGTGGCGCCCTGGGGTCTCGGGGTTTGGTTTCTTGCAGAGGGTTTCCTATGGTCGAGCTCTCTGAAGGGGCCCCAGGACACAAATAATTACACACTAATACAACTATTCCCAACATGTTCCATTATTTTCTGGGTTGTTGCCTTCCCCCCCCCACTTCCCATGTTTTTCTCTATATATTCTGGGGAATCGACGATTCACTGTGCCTGTCTGTTTTTTTTTTCCCTCCTGACTCTCACTGTTGTGCATGCACGCACCAACCATCGCAAGCAGTATTGCACCTCTCCCTCCCGCGGACCCGTCTGCGTCTCAAGCCCACTGCTCGGGCCTCCCGGGGGCCAGGCCGCCGGCCCGAGCAGGGGCGGGCGAGCGGCGCGGGCACGCCAGGGGGGTCCAGGGGGAGCGCGGGCAGGGGCGCGCAGGCGTTCCCGCGCAGGGCCTCGCGCCGGTGCCCCCCTGCTCCGCGCGCTCCCAGGGGAAGAGGATTGACTCCTTACGTCAGCAGGCGCGCGCGAGTCGCCGGCTGCGCCCGGCATCATCGGGACCCTTCGGCCGCTCGAAGTCCTCCGTGCGACTTTTGGCCCCCCCGTACGGACGTCGGGCCGAAAGTGGAGCTCGTGGACCCACCCACATGACCTTTCTTGGAGGTTGGAGACTGGGAGGCTAACTCCTGGGTCGCACCGTGGATTCCGAAAGTCTGGGAGTGAGGTAAGACACCGACCCCTCTCGGATGCCCTCGACGTAGCCCCCAGTTTCCGCCTGCCCTGGGATGGGGGAAGGGAGCGGGGCAGGCTAGAGAGAGGCGGGGAGGGGATAGGTGGGAGGGAAGAGGATCTGAGCGATGGGGTGTGAACACGGGCGGCGTGGAGCAGAGGGAAGGGGACAGAGGGGGCCTCTCAGCTTGTCCTTGAAACGTCTTCTGATTCGTTACCAATGTATGCGTGTGCCGCGTGCCTTTGCGCAGCTCCTGGGAAGCTTCTGGGCAGCACCCTGAAGGGTTCTTTGCAAGCTTCCCACGCACCCTTGCACACTCCTCCTCCTCCTCCTCTTCCTCCTCCTTCTCCCTCCTCCTCCTCCTCCTCCTCCTCCTCCTCCTCCTCCTCCTCCACCGTGCCCCGCCAAGAGCAGCATATTCATGTTTTGGTTCCTTCATTGAGTGCAATGCAGTATCGGCCCCATGCAGGAACATTGCCAGGCACATGTTTGACCCACCTGGGCAGTTTGAGAACACTGTTGGCACATGTTCATGCATTGCAGCTTCTGGGCGCCTGCCTGTTTTGCGCATCTGAATGTCAGCGCGGGAGACTGCCGCGCGCGATGTTCGTGGCGCAACTATGTGGCCACCCCTAGAGTTGCGCCGCAAGCGTGGGAGAGCGGCCGTCTGAGATGGAGCGGAGATGGAGCGGTCAAATCGAGCAGCGTACCATCTGTGAGAAGGGTTTTCGCCTCCAATTGCCTCGTTTGGAAAACGCGTTCCCCCCATTTACGCTCCCCCATTAGATCGGTGGTCCTCCACCGACACCGCGTCCCCCATTCTTGTCGATCCTCATCCTCGCCGTCTCGGGCCAGCGCGGGCGCAGCGCGAGCCCGGCGCGCGCGTTACCGCGCCGCCGCGCCGCCCGGCCGCGCCACGGTCGGATGCGCCGTTGCCTGCGCTGCGGGTGCTCCAGGCGGTCGCGGGCCAAGGCGACCACTGGCTCACCAGTCACGGCGGCGGCGGCGACGTGTGACGACGGCGAACGGAGACCAGCAGCGACGAGAAGCACCTGGGGGATGCGGCGGCGACGACGCTGGGGCGGCGTCGGCAGCGACGACGCGAGGAAGGCGGCGGCGGCGGCGACGAGGACGGTTTCGGGGGCGACGGCGCGATTCCGACGGTTGCGACACCGACGGCGGGGACAACGGCGAGAACGGCGAGAACCGTTGCGTCCGGGGGCCGCTGAACGGATTTGGCGGGATCTGGAGCCAGGGAAGGGGCTGCCCCTACAAGGACGCCGACAATGCCGCGAGCCAAAACAAGGATGACGACGATGGCGGACGCCAGGACGACGGCGAAGGCGGCGAAACGATGATGGCGGCGACGGCGACGACCCGAAGACGGCGCGAGGACGCCGGCGACGACGACTGATGGCGGACGCCAGGACGACGTTTATGGCGGGGAAGCGATGGCGGCGGCGACCCGAAGACGGCGTGAGGCCGGCAGGCAACGACAGTGGGCGCGGCCTCCGTGCCGGCAGGTGGCGGTCCACTCGGAGGAGGAGCTCTTCACGAGCATCGGCGTGGATGCGCCCTCGAGGCTCGGGGAACGCAGAGCCACCCCGACCCCGACAGCCAACTCGGTATCCACTTCGGGCCGATCGATCCGATGCGATGTCGGTTGGCCGGTCCGAGTCGGCTCGGTTCCGACACTCCGACGATCCGATGCGGCTCGATGTTTGCGTTGCGCTGTTGTGCATCCTGGCGCAGCCGATCCGATTCGATTTCGATTCCGTGCTGATGCAGTCCGATCTTGGCGCTGTTTTATGTTAACACTTGTATGCGGTTGCTAAGCGGCGCTACCCCCCTTTTCGACTCCCCATTTCTAGGGGAGCTTGGTTGCTAGAATTGAGTCGGTCATGTCCCTCTGCAGGAGGAATACTCAAACATAGTAAAAAAACAATAGTCTGGGGACGAATGTTCTATAACCCTTGGCTATTGTTGAATCAGTGTTTGGGGGATCCTTTGTTTTTCGCCCAAAACCCCCCGCCGCCGGTAGGGGGACATGCCCGACCTAATGCTAGAGAGGCGGGCCAACATCGGGAGCCGGTGGCCGCGGGGCTCGAGAGGAGGGCGGGCCAGGAGGTGCTCTTTTGAGAGGTGGATCTCTCAAGCTCTCCGCCGCCTCTGGCGGTGTGCGTTGCGAGCAGGAACACAGCAAAGCCACAGGACTTGCTCGGAAGCAGGGCTCTCGACCAGCCAGGCCAGGCCCCTCGACCAGCAGGGCTCCCGGCCAGGCCTCTCGACCAGCAGGGCTCGCTCGGAAGCCCCAGCCCCGGGGATTCTCCGTGCGGGCGGGGACCGAACCCGCGCAGGGGGGGTCTGGGCCCCCCAGGTGGGGTCGGAGCAGGTGGGGTCGGAGGAGCATCTCAAGCAGTGGCGAACGACAGGGGGGGGAAAGGGGGAGTTACGAAATCTGATGCATGCAGCTGGTTTCGGCCCCGCCGCCGGGCCCATTCCTCGATACATGGGCGCCTCCCGGCGCCGAGAGGCGCCAGGAAAATCAGCTACGTGAGCTGATTCTCAAAGCCCCCTTTTGCTATCCCCCCCCTTTCGCCCGGCCTCCTAGATGGATGGGGTCGGAGTAGGTGGGGTCGGAGGATCGCGCCGCATCTCAAGTAGTGGCGAAGCGTCCCGGCGTGCCTATAGGCTTATCAAACAATTATCTAAGATCTTTTTGTGGTTTCCTCGCTATCCCCCCCTTTCGCCCGGCCTCCTAGATGGATGGGGTCGGAGTAGTTGGGGTCAGAGGATCGCGCCGCATCTCAAGCAGTGGCGAAGCGTCCCGGCGTGCCTATAGGCTTATCAAACAATTATCTAAGATCTTTTTGTGGCTTCCACGGAATTGTCTTAGGACATTTCTGGCTGGGACAGTCATGCTTTAACACATCGGTTTGACGTTCTAAGAACACTGTGCTTGTTCTTAGAACTTTTTTGGGGTTCTAAGAACATCTCGTGGTAGGCCTATAGGAGTGCCAGGACGGTCGGTCCCTGCTCAGGCATCGCCGATGCACCGACAATGCGGCTCGATGTGGAGCACGTGTTTCTCCACGCCGACGTCGCCGATGCATCGCCGATGCATTGGCGATGCGGCGCGATCCTTCGACCCCATCCACTCGGACCCCATCTGGGAGGCCTCCAGGGTGGGCCAACCCCGCCTCGTACTGATTTGGGGGGGGGGGGGGGGCCCGCCGGGGAAGCTCCCCCGCCCGAGACCGACTCCTCACTCGCAGCGAGCACGGGGACGAGCCTGGCCCCTGGCCCCGCGCGTGACGGCCCCCTGTGCACGGAAGGCTCGTGCCTCCCACACGCGTCGACGGCGCCGGCGCCGCCCGAGCGCGTCAGTGACGCCGGCGCGGACGCTCAAGGTCGAACGCGCTCAGGTGATGCTCAGGAGGAAAAGAAACACAGAGACACAATGAATCCTCGATTCCCCCCAGAAATATGGGAAAATATGGGAAGTGGGGGGAAAATATTGGAAAAATCGGGGGCACCTTGGGAGCAGTTTTGGGGGCCTCCTGGGGGCTCTTGGGGGCCCACTCGGGGGCCCCTCGCGGCCGAGGGCTCGAAATGCTCGTCCGGGCCCCCCATACGTATGGGCCCCGTCTCGGTGCCGTCATTGGCGTCTCTTGGGCCGTCTTGGGCGCCTCTTGGACCGTCTTGGGGCCCCCCTGGGCCGTTTTGGGGCCTTATGGTAGGCATCTTGGGGCGATCTTGGGGGCCTCTAGGGCCGTCTGAGAGCGTCGGGAAGCCAAGGGACAATGATTTGAGCCTCTTGGGACCTCTTTGGGAGGCCTTTTGGAGGCCTCTTGGGGCGTCTTCGAGGCCTCTTGGGGGGTCTGGGGGCCATGTAGAGCGTCTTAAAGCGATGGTTCAGCGACTCGGGGCCCTCTTGGACCAGTTTGGAGGTCTCTTGGGGCCCTCTTCTCTTGGGGCCCTCTTGACCCGTCTTGGGGCCCTTGTGGCTCCGAAAAAGTCACACGAGAAGCCGCGACAAGACGGGAGAAGCTCCGCTAAATATGGTAGTGTGGGCTCCGGGCCCCGTGAAGATTCCTCAGGGCTGAGGATTGGTGCTTAGAGGATTTGGCAGAGGACCTGAGGAGACGCGCACTCCGTGCCCAGCGGCACGGTGGCGGACCATGCTTGACAACGGACCTCCTGCCTTGCTAGCGGTGTAAAAGCCTCCTGGTCGGCTTGGAGGGCCCAGGGTGGCTCTGGCTGGGTATGCTGGTTGTGTACAGATGTGCGACGCAAACAGTTGCGCTGACATTCGCGCGTAAGCTCCCGGCGTAAGGTCGCGTGTGAGCGCCCGCGTTACCCACGCGGTGTGCCGCGCTGGTGGCCCGCGTAGGCCGCGGCGTAGGGTCGCAATGGCATCTCGCGTAAGGCACGCGTCTTTTCTTGGCATCGCTCGGACGTGTGCATGTTCTCTCATCGAGGAGCATTTGAGGCAATCTTGCCAAGAATACGCGCGCGAAACCGGAACACGCACGTGGAGTGGACGTCCGAGTGATGGCGAGCTTTCGGTCGCTCAGATGCCCCCAAAACGTCCTGGGCCCCGTGAATCGCGGACCAGGGCTCGAGCTAAACGGTGTTTTCGCGATTTAGTGGGCCGTTCTCGTTTTGACCTCGTTTTGCACCAGAGGAGGAACGAAGACAGAACGAGGGAACGAAGACGAGACGAAACCGAAAAGCAGTGTTCACAGCAAGCCCGCATGGCAAGGCTCGGCAACCAGCCCAAGGGTACCCTTGGCATCCTCGCCTCCTCGGCCCATCCTCGACCGCCTTCGCTGGCCGCGCCCCGCCCGCAGAGCGTCGACGTGGCCTTCCGGGGCCCTGTGCATCCCTGTCGTGCATCCTTGCTATACGGGCCGACTGGCAGCAGAACAAGACGCCAGAACACCAGGGAACACGAAGCCACGCAGCACGAAGACAACGAGCGACTCGAGAGAGGCTGGCCACCCAGGGAACGAAGACAGCACGAGGAGAAAAGCATTGATCGTTGTTATCGTCGATCGTTGTGATCGTTGTTACCGTTGTGATCGTTGTGATCGTTGTGCTCGTTGTTATCGTTGTGATCGTTGTTATCGTTGTTATCGTTGGCATTGATCGTTATCGTTGTGATCGTTGTTATCGTTATCGTTATCGTTATCGTTGACGAAACCGACGAGCAGTGCTGCGCAGCTCCTGCTCTGCCGCGGACGTGCGCACGGCGCCGCCTCGGGCGCGGGCGCGTCCGAGAGGCCGCGCGCGGCCCTCGGAGGGCCCCCGCCTCCAAGGCCCCGCGCGGGGGCCCTCGGCGAGCCCCTGGAGGGCTCGAGATCCTCCCTCCTCCTCCTCCTCCTCCTCCTCCTCCTCCTCCTCGACCTCCTCCTCCTCCTCCTCCTCCTCCTCCTCCTCTTCCTCCTCCTCCTCCTCCTCCTCCTCCCCCCTCCTCCCTCCTCCCTCGCGCAGCGTCTGGGCGAAGGGCCGTCGGCCACGCGCCGAGGGGGGTAAGGGAAGCGTGGCATCGCTCGGGCGTGTGCATTTTTCCTTCGGCGAGGACCATCGAGGAGCATGCTTGAGTATTTGGCGAAAAGCCGCCCACGGAACCGAACAGAAACACAGGGAATGGACGTCCGAGCGATGGCCAGGAAGGGGGGAAGGCTTCTTAGAAGCACCCCTGCTTCTTAGAAGGCGCGGGCCTTCTCTGCACATGTAAGGCCGGCGCCTTCTAAGGAGCAGCCCCCTTCTAGGAAGCCTTCCCCCCTCCCCCATACCCCCTCCTGCGCGCCGCCAAGACTGGCACCGAGAGGCGCAACGTGATCGTTTTCTTCTCCATTGTTTCGCCGATCGGCGCGGGCCCTCGCACCCCCCCCTCGCCCCCCCTCGCCCCCATGGAGTAGACCTTGGCTGCTTTGGGGCGCCCGTTTCGAGCAGGTGGAGTCCCCCCCATGGGACGCGCTGTCTCAGACAGCCAGAGGTCCAGAGCCAGATCCCCCCCTCCTATTCCCCTTCCGCCCGATGTCGAAATACTGAATAAGAAAACGCTAACCAGGGGGGGTGCATTCGGGTAGGGGATCGACTACAGCATCGAATCGATCTACCGCAAGATTGTGTTCCCCATCGACTTTACGAAAGATGCGCAGAACGTGCATACGTTCACGGGACATTCTACGCAACGCTCGTAGCTCCGACGGTGAGATCACTGCTGGGGCACATCGCCTCCATATTCGATCCCCTTCTCGATTCTTGGCGACGCTCCTCTCTACCGCCACCCTCCCGCCCGCGGGCCCCGGCACCCGACCCGTTCTGCGGGCCCGCGCGGCCCTGGGGCCGGGCGCGTGCGAGAGCGCGACGGACTCCCGCTGCGCTTCGCCATCCGTGCAGCCGATCAGAGCCCCGAGTCATCAGGGTAACTCGGGTCGGGGCTGACCGGGGTTCGTTGTTCGGGATTCCGAGCCCGAGTTAGCCCAGGCCTGAGTTACCCCGATCAATTCGGGCGTCCAGAGCCCCGAATCATCAGCGCGAACTCGGGTCAGGGCGATCTCGGGTTTGTTT